CGTGGGCTTTATCAAGCAAAATTAGTGCAGAGCCAAGTAATACAGCTTGATTATATGTGATCTCAGTATGAATTTGGAGTAGCATACATATGCTTTGTTTAAAATATTCTGTGAGGTTAATATTAAAATATTCATATTTTAATCCATGTGAATGGATTCACATGGATTAAATGAATCCATGAATGGATTCAGCTACAGAAGACAACAGTGATACAGATAAAATAAGAGTAATTTTTTTTTAAATTTAAGCTTTCAGGTTGATTTTTTTTAAAAAAAAAATACTTTTCCTCCCTCTTAAGTAAAGGTATTTGAGAACCCTTGGATATTTGAATAAAACATATTTATATTCCTTTTTTACAGAAATGGCCACATTGGAAGACCACCCTTTGTTCAACCCCGATATAAAAGTTACAGACCAACCAGGTGAAAAGAAAAAGAATCCTGTGTTTCTTGAAACAGATGGAGCCTTGAGTTTGAAGATACTTGAGAAATCACAAAATCCTCCAGAAGAACAAAAAGGTATGATTAAAAATGTGTTTTAAAACTTCATGGATATTTTTGGCCAATTCTCTGACAGTCTACCATAGAATATGAAGAGAAGATCATCCCCAAATGGTGTGATATTGATTTGATCAATAGCTTCTGTGTAAGAGGCATCTAAGTCACTTGCAAAATGATTTGTAAGATTTGATTCTGTAGGATTAAAGGTTTGCTCTTGTAAGTTGTGAATCTAGGGTTAATTTCTTTGGAGCAGAGCATCACTTCATTTTTTAAAATTCATCTAAAATATATCACAATAAACCTTACATCCTCTTAAGTTACTTAAAAGCTGAATAATAAATCTTCTCAGGTCCTTCATCTTTTGAGAGATGTGACTCTGTGTTGATTTATAAAAAATAAAAGCATGTCACTTAAAACAGGGATATCAGACTTGATTTCATTGAGGATCGCATCAGAGTTGTGTTTGACCTTGGAGGGCCAGGGGGGCCGTGGACAGGGTGGGCGTGGCCAGCTTGTCACTCATGTTGGGGGCGCCTGTAGTGGCCCGAGTGCTCTGCCAGCAAAAATGGGCTCCTGAGCAGCCTCCCCAGGCTCCATTTTTGCTGGCAGAGGGCTGCAGGAGGCCATCATGGCCAAAAATGGAGCCTGGGAGGGCTGTGGTGTCAGAAGCACTACAGGCCATTCCTTCTCTGTTTCCAAGGTGGCCCTGCAGGCCAGATCTAAGTACCCCATGGGCCAAATCAGGCTCGTGGGCCTTGAGTTTGATACCCCAGACTTTAGAATCATCCCATCATAACAACTTTTCTTGTTCTTCTCTGATGGGAATAATTTCTAGCCACCAGGCATTGTTAATACACAGCGTCCCCCAACACAGTCTTTCCTATAAGTCTGAATAGATTTTCAGGCCAATACTTGAACAAATCAATCATACAAAAAATTGGGACTCTAGAGGTTTCTTCATAAAAAACACCGGGAAGGAGCAAATTCAATCCAGCTCACTAAAAATTGATGCCAAACCCTTCTAAAAACTGAAACTAAAACAGAGCAGCCATAATGGCTTTTTTCTCATTCCTTTGGAAATAGGAAATCTAGCAGATTTAAAGGAAGCATGCTTAAAAATATACTCATTAACATATAAGATGGAAGATGAGCAGGCTTGTACATAATTTAGCATTTGTTAGATAGCCAGGCTTTTTTCATAGCATTTTTTAAAAATGCCATCCCAATTTTATTTGAATTATGGACACCCTTTCTTGCAGAATGTACCATGATAAATGAAGGCATTATTTAATGCAAGTTTAATTAGAGGCAATACTTCTATAATACAAATATGGGCACTCTAAATAAAGTATTGAACCTCAAAATCTGAACAACCAGCATGTCCTTGATCTCCTGATTAAGGCACAATTTTAAGATTTTTTTTTTTCCAAATTACAAATAAACCTTTTGTACCCTGTATAAACTAATAATGAAGCACTAGACTCTAGGTTCAATATTAGAATTACTTGGAATTCTAGCTCAGCACATGCATTAATTGTGCCTGCTTTTCAGAGCTTACATTAAAAATTGTTTATATTGAAATGGAGATTTAAAATTAATTCATCCAACTCTGCTAATGGTTTCTATCCTCTATGTACAAATAATTTTTGTTTTCTGCTGCTGATACTAGTGAAAAAGAAAGATCCACAGGATGTAAGGAATTTTGATTATACAGCTCGAAGCTGGACTGGAAAATCTCCCAAACAGTTCTTGATTGACTGGGTCAGAAAGCATTATTCCAAGTCCCCAAATCCTTCTTTTGAAAAAGTTCCATCAGGAAGATATTGGAAATGTAGGTATGTATACACATGAAACAAATTTTCACTTTATTATGCTTGATAGTTTCAATTCCTTTTACATTTTTGAAAAGTCATTTTAATGGATAAGTACACACAGCTTGAAACATAGGTTAAATCATTTACCCTCAGGCATGATTGAGCTATTCTGATCTAATTCATTCATATTGTACTATGATTTCTTGAGTTTTACAGGCAAAAGCAAAACTTCATGCCTATCACTATTAGCAGCCAACCTGACTCCAAGTTCTCACATATTGTCCATTTGCAAAAGCTGAATTAGTGGGATATTTATTTATTTGATTTACATCCTACTTTGATTTAGTGCAAATCAAGGTGACATATATGTTTCTGCCTTCTGTTTTCCCCACAATCGTGTGAGGTGAATTGGACTGGGAGAGAGTGACTAGCCCAAAATCATCTAAAATGATAGTTAGACAGCAATATCTAAACTTATGTCATAAAGAATGACAATTTCTTTTGAATTGCCTTTGTTAATATGTGCAATGCTGAAAAAGTGTTATTTCAGATTATATCAAATTTGGAATTTGTTTATACAGCTGACATTGATAACCAATTACTTATAAATATTTATTTATGCAATTTATGGATTATCTGACTCATGACAACTCTGGGCAGCTTATGTTATTTGAATAAGAAATATGGCTTGTTTCAGTGATATAATAGTTTGCTTATACATTAAAATCAGTTGTACAAAACGTATTATTGTCATTTCATGAACCAATCTGTGGCTCAGCTTGTATTTTGCTGAAGTCACTGAAGCTCATGCTATTTGGAATTTTGAGAAAATGTTAGTGTTTTGGATGCCATACAATTTGCCATTCAAAATAGCTGTCATTTTAATATATTATTTTTATTAAGCATGAATTAACTATTTTTTAGGGTAAGAGTTATCAAGTCAGCTGATGATACGTTGGTGGTGTGTCCCACAATCGTTACAGAAGATAGTATGCAGGCGCAACATCTGGCTGCTACATTAGCTCTGTATCAGTTGACAAAAGGGCAGGTGAGATTTTAGAAGTCCCAATAAAAATGTTTTTAATAATTTGCTGAAAAGGAGTGGTGGCATATACAATACGCACAATCAATATTTTGGTTATTAATGTAGGGAATGGTGAGTCTGATGGATCTGACTGCTTTCTAACCTTAAGGAGTTTCTTAATGGCAACATTTCTTTGTTTATTTTATTCTGTTTTTAATCAGGTAGTATCTGATGCAGTTGTGACTTAAAACATTTTCAAAAATAATAAGTAGCATTCAGATACAGAAAAGCTCAGGTAAGTCCAACTGAAATTGTTGGAGAGCTTGGCATGGTGGCATTAAGCATTTTTCTTTGTAAGCCAGATACCTATACCATAACTTCAAGAAGCCATTCTGTAACAAAACTTCTTAGTGGCGACCCCTAGAAAAAAAGAATATTGAATAACCCATGTGCTATCTTTTCAAATTCACTAATGTAAAATCCACTGTTCAAATACAATACATTATGTCATTATGCTGTTGAATTTTTATGCTGCTGCGCAATCTTCGTTGCTTCCTGGTGGTTTATATCTATAAAACATACACAGGCATGCATGCATGCACATACTGTATCTGTATCTTATATCTATAAATCACACACACATGCAGGCATACTAAAAAATAATTTCTGGAAGATCATTAGGGTGTAAATCTGGCCATAGTAGACATTTAGAAGTAACAGATCCATTACTAGCCTGTTAAAGTTTCACTATGCACATGATTCAAAAATACATTGAAGAGTCTTCAGAAGTTTTTGTTAAAAAATAACAAAATTAATCTTGGGCTTATATGTCAAAATTATTACAGGGAGAACCTTTTGGGAATGCAAGAGGAGGTCATATTAATTTTGGGAACCACCTAAAATAGGATATTGAAAAAGAGCTTTTCTTACTTTTGAGCCAAATTACGACAGCAGTTCTTATGAATATTTATCTGAAATCAGTTTTATTTAATATAATGACATTTATTGGTAAATAAATATTATAATACATAATTCATTCCAAAGCATACTTTAAAGTATTCCTTTTTGTCTCTCTTCAGTCAGTGCATCAGTTACTTCCTCCTACATACAGAGATGTTTGGCTAGAATGGAATGATGCTGAAAAGAAAAAAGAAGAAGAAAACAAGACGGAAACCAACAAGCCTCGTGATCAGTTCATTGCCAGACTGCTGAACAAGCTGAAGCAGCAGCAGCCACCACAGCAAATTGAAGGCAAGCCCAAACTTTCAGAAGATGCAGCAGACTCTTGGGAGAACTTAATTACTGAAGAGGACTTTAATGGGATTTCTCTTGAGACCTCATTTACAGATGACTTAGAACCTATGAGAGCTCTCTTTAAAAAACAACAGAGTTCTACCAGATACCAAAGACTTCTAAAGGAGAGAGAGCAACTACCGGTGTTTAAATATAAACATACCCTCATAGAAACTTTAAAAAAGCATCGAGTTGTGGTTGTGGCTGGGGAAACAGGTAGTGGTAAAAGCACTCAAGTTCCACATTTCTTGTTAGAAGATTTGCTACATAATGAACGAAGTTTGAATAAATGCAATATTGTTTGCACCCAACCACGGAGGATCTCAGCAGTGAGCTTGGCAACTAGAGTTTGTGAAGAACTGGGCTGTGAAAATGGACCTGGTGGAAGAGTAAGACGTTCTTACAGTTATGTTCCGATGACTGCTTTTTAGAGAATGTAATAGGACAGCTCCTAAAAGATCAGTTTATAATGGAATAAATTTCCATTTATGGCTTAGAGGAATTTCACATAAGAATATTGAGATCATAAGAAAAAATGGTAGATTACCATTCAGTAGTAATTTTAATTCCTTATAGAATTAGTTATGCACCAATATTTGTGGTACAGTGGCATTATTATCTGGCAAACTGAAGAACAGAATAGAGTTGCATTTGAAGCTCATCCAGAAACAGACTGAGTTTACACTTTAAGGTTGTACTGAATTTTTGCTGTCAGTTTATAAGAGAAATTCCTCTTTTGAGGAAGCATGCTCCATATTTCCATATTAGTCTCTTGGAAATATTTGCTATATTTTTAATAAATATTAAATCAAAGAGTTGATCTTGTATAGAAACTATTACATGTCCTTAAAAAACACAAATCGAAAAGACTAGCATCTCTTTCTGCTGGGATGGATTAAAAATTGGGCATTGCTATAAAACTACTTGCACCTGCTATGGGATCAATCTTTTTTCCAAACAGGAAAAATGTTTGTGAATTAATATAGGAGCAAAGTAGCCTATTCTAATAATAATGGAAAGTTCTAATCACAATAAGTTTATTTTAGACAAACCTTTTATTTTCTTCTCTAAGAATTCCTTGTGTGGCTATCAAATCCGTATGGAATCACGAACAGGAGAAGCTACTAGACTGCTTTACTGTACGACTGGAGTTCTTCTTCGGAAATTGCAAGATGATCTTCTTCTTTCTAACGTGTCTCATGTTATTGTAGATGAGGTTAGCAACCCTTTTTTAGTTACCTGAAAAAAGCAGCATAGTTATTCCTTCATATTAACCTCCTCTATATCCTTTTCATAAAGGTTCACGAAAGAAGTGTTCAATCAGATTTCTTGCTAATTATCTTGAGGGAAATCTTGCACAAGCGTTCAGATCTCCATCTCATTTTGATGAGTGCCACAGTTGATAGTGAAAAATTCTCCAGCTATTTCACTCACTGTCCCATACTAAGGATTTCAGGAAGGAGTTACCCTGTAGAGGTAAATGCATAATTATATTCCTATTGATTCGATGTCCTACCTTTTCCTTTGAAAATACCATAAACTGTTCATCTCTGAATCTGTGCTCTGATGTATTAAAAACTTACAATGAGCTGCCACAAATTATTTCTAATGTCGGTATGATTTCATATCCATTGATTGATTATGTGCCATCAAGTCAACTCTTAGCGAACATATAGATTTTCTCCATGATGATCTATCCCTAATCTGATCCTTCATGTCTTCCAGTGGTGACACTAACCACGTCCACCCACCTTGCTGTGTGTTTCCTCCTCCTTTCCACCCCCTCCATCTTTCTCGGCATCAGAGTCCTCTGCTGAGCTTGTTCTTCTGTAATGTGTCCAGAAAATAATAATTATTATTTCTAAATAATCCAGTTTTTCGTTTATCATTTTAGTGCAAATAACAGCACGCAATATGCAAGGTTATATGTTATCAATTTTTAAAGACAGACCAAGATTGCTAAATTATGCAACTTTTCCAGCTGAATTTTGTGATATTTATCTGAGGCAAAAGGTTGATGTTCCTTTCTATTCCAATAATGGGAACTTGTTCTGAATGTAATTTCAAAATAAATACAGTATATCTAAAACTGAACTGTTTCACTCCAGGTTTTTCATGTTGAAGATGTAATCGAGGAAACTGGCTTTGTTCTGGAGAAAGATTCTGAATATTGTCAGAAATTTTTGGAAGAAGAAGAGGAGATAACTGTAAATGTGACTAGCAAAGGAGGAGGAATAACAAAGTATCAGGTGACATTTTATGTGCAAAAAAATTACTCGGTTTACAAAACTATTTACCAGTTGTGCTCAAGGTAGGTGTCTCCTCCCCTCCTGATTTGGGATCCTCCATTATTTTACACAATGGCCCACTTTATTTAAAAGGGGTTTTCAGCCTTCCATACAGCATGGGCAGCCTTAGAAATTATCCTTTGAGGATTGCTAGAACCAGCATGGTAATATTGTGATATCACAAAAAGAGGCAGCTGTGAAATCTTGGTTCTGTTTTGTTTCTTTGTTATTTGGGGGGACGAGGAAGAGATTTATTACATTTATTTTAAAAAAATAAGAAAAATGGTAAAAATGAAAATTGCTGCCAAGCTTTTGAATATAATCTTGGGAGGTCTAGCAAAAATTATGGTTGGGGGCATAGACTATTCCTTGATGCTCATTTCTGGTGTAGCATTTCAGAGTGACAGATGAAAGGATAGCAAGTTTATTTCTAGCTCTGTTGCATAAATTTGCATTCAGTCTTCTGTTAGTTGATGTTGCAGTTAGGCTGTTTTACACATATAGTCCTTTTTTATTTTATTTTATTTATTATGTGCAGCAATAGATGAAACTATTTTGTTACATCATTTTGTTTTAGAATTATTGTTCCAAATATCTTTCTGTTATGTTTAGGAAAGTGTTCCGGTTCAGGTTGCAACTGGTATTGAGCTAGGACCATATTTCCAAAAATACAGCAGTCGAACTCGGGAAGCCATATACTGTATGAATCCCTACAAGATCAACTTTGACCTCATACTGGAATTACTTGCATTTTTAGGTAAGGTTTTGAAAAATTGCATAAAACACAAATTTAAAATGGCTTTCTTACTCCTGGTCCTCGTTTGCTTTTTCCCTAAGGAAAACGCCTAATATGTATAGGTATCTCTGTGTGTCTGTCTGTCTGTCTGTCCTAGCTATCATATCAATGAGACTCTTCTTGATAAAATAAATGATTTTTTAAATTTACTTTCTGTTCCTACAGACAAAAGTCCCCAATTCAAAAATATGGAAGGAGCTGTCTTGATTTTTCTGCCAGGCCTTGCACATATCCAGCAGTTGTATGATCTCATTTCCACTGACAGAAGATTTGATTTAAGACAGAGGTAAGCAAATCATGGAAAAGCAATGATAGATTCTAATTAAAATGTACATTGTTGCATAGATTGAATTATTAGAAGATTAAATAGGATTGCTAACTGAAAACAACAAATTTTAACTATTTAATATGCATTTTTTTTCTTCCATGCATATTACCCATCTAAAAATCAAAACAGATTTTGCCATAGTGGACATTTTTGGTTTTGGATGTAAAATAAATTATATAAAACTGAATTGTCTACTTGTAGCAAGTATTAATATTAAAATAGCTATTAAAGGACAGATTTTTATTGGCAATTTTAAACATTTCAATATAATATAATACTTTTGCATATAGTATAATACTTTGTATATAGCTGTGATGGTGAACCTATGGCACACGTGCCAGCGGTGGCACGCAGAGCCCTCTCTCTGAACACGCGCGTCATCGGCAGCTGCTCTTTGGTTTCCGACGTGCATGTGCACACCAACCAGCTGGTCTTCGAAGATGCCGGAGCCCCAGAAAATGGCTTGAAAACAGCCTGAAAAATGGCCAAAAATAGCCAAAAATCAGGCATGCGTGCACCAGCCAACTGGTTTTCGGGTTTCCGGTGCTCTGGCGCACGCAAAGACCAGCAGGCTGGCGCATATGCACATGCCGGAAACCTGAAGACCAGCTGGCCGGTGCGCTTAGGCACACCGGCCAACTGGTCTTCGGGTTTCCGGCGGTCCAGCATGCAGGAATACACGCTCGTTCCGGTTTGAGCACTCGGTGCCGAAAAGGTTCGCCATCACTGGTATATAGTATTAATAGAACGTAATGATTAGTCAAATTATAAATCCAAATTTCATGCATATTGTCTGCTAAGATGTATCCATTTTGTCTTACAAGTCAAAACAATACAATTTTTTTTTTTTGCATTATAATTTTTTAGGCACCAGTTAATAGCATTGCATTCTGTTCTGTCCACTCAAGAGCAAGCATCTGCATTTACATTGCCTCCTTTTGGCGTTAGAAAGGTAAGCTTGAGGTATTAATATAAGTGAACTGATATCTTGCCTTGTGACTCAAGATCCCTGATCTTTCTTTCAGTATTTTGTGTCATGCATGGTGCTTTTCATGTATTTTAAAGAAAGGGATTAAAGAGACAAAACTGAGGGCATTCCAGATATTTCTAATGTGATCTTATGTTCAGTGTTGCAGTCTTGGAAAGTAATTCTTTCCACATTCTTCTGAAACGTTCATTTAAGCCTGGCATCTATCTCTGGGCCAAGAGTAAAGCTGCCCTTCAGAATTATATTAATCTTCTATTCCTATAGCATCAGCCAGAAGGGACATTTATCTCACAATGACCAGGTGAGATAAAAGAAGTTTGTTCCATCAACATCAGGAGGACCACAAGTTTCCTACTCCTGTTAGGATAACTCAATATTGTATTAACATAGAATTTGTTATGAAGATACTACTTATAATAGTTAATACTAGTTGCATGTAATCATTATGAACATTTTTGCTGGTTTGAGTGGAGTAAACCTTAGTGCACAGCTTATTTTTACTATTAAGATATGTACATCACCCTTCGATTTTAGATTATAACCAAGGCAGCTGTTTAAAGCAATTAATATTTACATTATTTTATTCAGTGAAGCAAAATAATTAAAATGCATTAAATCAAAACAATGAACAATGATGTCATTACCCTGAATTAAAATTAACTTAAGTAGCAGCATGTAAAAAATTTAACACATTAATTTAAATGCCTAGGGCAGTAAAATGTCTTGATTGGTATTGAACTGAAATCAGAAACAAAGTTTTCCGAAAAGTCAATGAAGATAATATAAAATTGGGAAAGTATCTTAATAACATTCAATATGAGTTACTTTGGCTGTAGTATTTTATGTTTTTTAAATATTTTTTATTCTATTTCCCAAGTTAAAATATAAATTCCAAAAGAAAAAAAAAGCAAAAACAAAAATGTGCATAAAGACATAAATACCTCCTAATAAATGCTTACAAATATATTTCAACAATAATAATTACCCCTCTTTCAAAACAGGTCCACAATTTATGAACTTCTACAGCTCTATTTACCCAACCAATTTAACTTACCATATATATATACACTATAAAAAAGAACAGTTAACAGGTAAACCCAATAGCAAAATTAAACTGCAAAGCCCTTTATTAACAATCTGTTATTGTATTTAACTCACATGAAGTCCACAAACAGCTTCTAATCTACCATAAAACCACTGCAGTCATTATTTCTGATCCATCCAGGATCAAATTATTTTCGATTGATTCTTAATAATAAAACTCTTCCTTAAAATTATAGTTGGGACCTTTCCAAACAGTTGCATCTCATCCCCCAAGTCATAGATTTCTATTGTGCAGTATTTTATGTTAAGAGAAATACAGGGATTACTTCAAGGAGAATCAGTGTACTATTCATTCTATAATCCCAGATTACCCTAAATTTTATTAATTTTATTAATAAAAGAATAAATGTTACAAATACATTGTAAGCATATATCACTCTTCATTCCCTAAAATATGTTCTTTGGGATGTGGCAAAAGAGAGCTAGTTTGGTCTAGTGGTTAAAACTCCAGGATAGAAAATAGGATACTGTGAGTTTTAGTCCAGCCTTAGGCATGAAAGCTGGCTGGGTAACTCTCCCTCTCTCTCGCCTCACAAAGTGGTGGTTGGGGGGACAATAGGAGGAGGAAGAAGTATTAGGTATGTTCACCACCTTGAGTTATTTGTAAAAAGAATGGAATATAAATACATACACATCTCCAAATATGATGAGACTAAATAGAAATTGCTCCTCCCCTACATAAAGAGTGGAAAAACTTGGAATCAAAGGCCTTGCATTCAGAGTAAAGACGGTATTTATCCCAAGTTAAAATTCTCTTTCTAAAATTTAGAAACTTGTAAATACATGTGTATGTTTAAAAGCATTTGTGTTTCTTTTACAGATTGTTTTGGCCACCAACATAGCTGAAACAGGTATTACTATACCTGATGTTGTTTTTGTAATTGATGCTGGAAGAACAAAAGAAAACAGGTGAAAGCACTTTTCACTAAAAAGGATCAACTTTCATTAAGAGATAAACTGACTTTTTTGCAATAGAGTTTTTGATGCGTTACAAGTTTTTTATTTTTATGTGATAACTAGATATAAGGTAGTACTGTACTTTTTCTAGAATAGGACTTTGTTCCTCAAAACAATGTTTTATTAGATCAACTGACTTTTGAAGAATAAATAAACGGTATATTCATCAAAAACCTCACAGCTTATTTTGTTTCTTAAGTACAAACCTCTTTCTCTGGGCCTTTTTTGTATTTTCTTTCTTTCCATTTAGGCAGTTATGGAGACTTGATCTGGCCTAGTGCAGGTGGAATGGGCGGGGGAAATTGCAAATGGCATTTAAGGCTCTGCAAGGAGTTAATGGAACTGATAATTGCAATCCTGAAACCG